GGTTGATGATGGGTTAATGTTGGTGAACTCTGTTGATTATGTTATCCCGACTTGACCCTGATTGTTATTCTCACCCCCACTCTCCCCCTCCCCCTCCCCTCTCCCTCACTCTCTCTCCCCGTCCCTCACTCTGTCTCTCCATCACTCTTACTTGCTGTCTTCACTCCCTCTTTCTCCCACCCTTTCTCTCATTCCCTCCCTCCCTCAATCCCTCATTCCCTCCCTCTCTCTCAACCTTCCTCCCTCACTCACTCACTCTCCCTCCCTCCGTCCCCCGTAACACTCACAGTTCCTGCCGAAGGCGCCGTAGTTTGGATTTTGAGTCAGCGAGTTGGACAGTTAGATGTTGCCGGGTCTCCCCGGCCCGGTGATACATCCCTTCCTCACAATTCCCTGCTCCTGATCCGTGGTGTAACTGGCAAAGCTCGCGTTCCTGGATCAGCTCCGCGATTTTCTGTGGGAGAGAGGAAACCGTGGGTGAGTGGTGCAGTCCACATGGCTGGACGCCAAATGGGGTCAACCAGGGTCTGGAATCACCTGTGGTCAAATAGGGTCAAGTGGGATCATTCAAGGTTAGCCAGGGTCAAAGAAGGTGAAACTAAGGCCAAATGAGATCAACCGGGGTCATCGAAGGTCATGTGGGGTCAACTGAGGTCAACGAATATCAATCGGGGTCAAGTCAGGATAACATAATCAACAGAGTTCACCAACATTAACCCATCATCAACCAGGGACATCCAAGATCAACGGTGCTCCAGCAGGGTCAACGAAAATCAACTGGGGTCAGGTGGGGCCAAGCTTTGGTTTTTATTGGGTCAAAGAAGGACAAATGGGAAGGATGACAGAGGCAAATCAGAGACTGGGAGTCAGGAAGGGTGACAGGGAGACGAGGAGGGAGTGTAAGAGAGAGACAAAAAGGGAGAAAGAGGGAGAGACTAAGACAGAATGAAAGACTGAGAGAAAGGGAGACGCAGAGGGTGGGAAAGAGAGAGAGAGAGAGCTAGAGACTAAGACAGAAAGAGAGTGAGACTGTGACTGAGGCAGAGAGAGGGAGAGATAGAGTGTGAGGGACAGAGTCATAGAGCGAGATAGAGGTAGAGAGAAAGAGAACAGAAAGAGGGAAGCAAACAGAGAGATGGGAGAGACAGTGCAGAGAGAGAGAGAGACAGTGTGAGAAAAAGGGAGGAAGAAAGGACTGTGAAGTGAAAATGTTGGAACAGGGACTTAAGGGGGAAGGAACGTAATTCTTTGAAGTTTGCGTCACAGGTAGACAGGGTGGTTAAGAAGGCATTTGGCACGCTTGCCTTCAATGCTGAAACCTTTGAGTATAGGAGCTGGGACACCATGTCCTGTACAACCTCAACATTACTGAGGCTTCTTCTGGAGTACTGAGTCCAGTTCTGGTCTCCCTGTCATAGAAAGGATTTCATTAACCTAGAGAGGGTTCAGAAAAGATTTGCCAAGGTGTTACTGGACTATTTCAATGGGGTGTAGATGGTTGAGGGGTGACATTATAGAGATTTACAAAATCATGAGGGGCATGGACAGGGTGAATGGCCAAGATCTTTTTCCCCAGGGTAGAGGAGTCCAAAACCAGATGGAATAGGTTTATGGTGAGAGGGGAAAGATTTAAAAGGGACCTGAAGGTGCAAATTTTTCACACAGAGGGTGGAGCGTGTGTGGAATGAACTTCCAGAGGAAGTGGTGGATGTGGGTACAGTTACAATGTTTAAAAGACATTTGGATAAGTACATCGATAGGAAAGGTTCGGAGGGATGTGGGCCAGGAGCAGGCAGGTGGGTCTAGTTCAGTTTGGGAAACATGGTTGGCATGGTCTGGTTGGGCCGAAGGGTCTGTTTCGACGCTGTATGACTGTATTTGGAAGTTGGTCAAAAATTTCATCAGCTGCTGTGTGAAGGAAAGTGAGGATAAAGTAGGAGGTGGGAGCAGGTCCTCAGCCAGACTTGTCTGTTCACTGATACCTTCAGTGATATGAGGGACTGAGTGGATAGGGGAGGTGATGGCCTAGTGATATTTTCGCTAGACTATTAATCCAGAGACCCAGGTTCAAATCTAGGAAACTCTAATTGTTGTTGAGGGGGGAAAAAGAATCCATCTTACCTGGTCTGGGCCTACACGTGACTCCAGACCCACAGCAATGTGATTGACTCTAAACTGCCCTCAGCGCAATTAGGGATGGGGCAATATGTGCTGGGCTTGGTGCGTGACACCCACATCCTGTGAACGGATGCAAATAAAAATCATTTCTCCCTCCCTTCCCCTCCCCACCCCACTTCCCCTCCGAAGGGTCTGTGTCCCTGGCAATGATCAGAGAGGGTGTGGTTACAGCAGTGACAGATACTGTCTTGCTCTCTCTCCCTCCTGGCTGCGGCTGTTCTTCTGGGAACTTGGGTGGGCCCGAATCCACCGAGGAGGAACCAGGCGCTTTCAAAAGGGAACTGAGGCCAGGCAGGGCTCCCAATCATCACGGATGTTGAGTAAGGGGTTGGGGGGGCAGCGCTGACTTGGAGAGCAGGGGATCGGGTCTGTAGAGTGGAGAGGTGACATTTACACAGCACCTATACAGGCTAACACCTCCACAATAAGGGGTGTAGGGGCTGGAGGGGGTGACAGAGATAGGGAGGGGTGTAAGGGATGGAGGGGGTGACAGAGATAGGGAGGAGGTGTAGGGGCTGGAGGAGGTGACAGAGATAGGGAGGGGTGGAGGAGCTGGAGGAGGTGACAGAGATAGGGAGGGGTGGAGGAGCTGGAGGAG